GGGCGGGGCGTGGCGGAGAGGGGATTTGACGTTATAAATGTCCGGAGAGATGTGTTCAAAGAAGGAATTTGATGACATCAGTTCTCTTTCGCTTTCAAATACAAGCGATATGCGTGTTCATGCATTTGTCGTCTACGTGCGTGTTGCTGTGTGTGCATGTAGGTCTGTGTTATTGTGTAGTCTTGAGCAAGGAGGACTTGAGGCCGATTTGGCAGATTCAGTTCTTCAGTCTTGTCGCAGTTGGGAGAGTCACGTTCGTCTATTAGTCTATCTGATTGTCTTGGTGAGTGATGAGTGTACTACCAGATAGAAACAGATAACGTACATGCGTGTTTGTGCGCGATAATAATTATTTTATTATTAAACAGACCGAGTTGCTGAAGACAAAAGTATAATGTAAAATCAATCGTTATTATTAGAAAATAGTTGTAAAATACTAAAAGTTTAAAATAACGAGATAGGTTGCATGAGTTTGACCTTCATTATAATACATGTATATTGCGAGGAAATCCTGACTTTAACTTCAATATTATTGTTTTCTATTGACATGGCGTGGTTTAGGGGGGGGGGTGTCCTTACTTGGAATAATAATGCGTTCTGTGAGGTTTTTTTAACCAATCAAAAATAAAGGGGGACAGACTGCTTTAAGGTAGCGGTTAGGCGCTTTGTGGTCGCATGCAGGAGACTTGAGTTTGATTCCGGTGTGGGTAGAATTCAAACCGAATATATCGGTCCTTCTGATGGGACATTGTATCCCTTTCAGCCCTGTTTGGTCCTGTCAGGCAGGTCCAAGCAGCCTTGTTCCTGAATGGTCAATATTGATAGAAGCAAAAAAAGGAACATTAGGCGGGTGGTTGGCGGATGCTTTGGTGTGGTTTGGTCCACTTCTATCCTATCAAACATCTATCATCCTAATTTTATCCCCTTTTTAGAAAAGTTGTGTTTTGTAATTCCTGTATATTAAAAATGGGGGGATTCCACACCATACTTTTCAATAAACTATTGGATTGTGAGACAAGTGTTATAGAAGCTACTTTATGTAGAAAGGGGACACATCCTGTAACTACAGGTTTATTATAATCTTCGGCACTCTTATGACCTTATCGTGTTGCAACTACTGTAAAACTAACACCTACAATTACATTTTTTTAAAAATAAAGCCAGTAAAGCAAAGTAGTTTGGGAATTTTGTAACAAAATGTAATGTGCACTAAGAGTTATTTTAGGTTTGTATCTTAATCTCTGCATTTCACTCATTCGATTTTGCTAATTGCAAACTTCCTGAATCTTTTCACAGTGATAGTTCAACACCATGAGCTTGCTGCGACGCCTTAGCGAAGACCCCGGCCTCTTGAGGCAGGTTTTGACTCGGAACTACGTCAGAATATCTGCAGACGATGAGACTTTGGGCAAAGGCGAGTTCTTTCCGGAAACGGAAGAAGAAGCTTTGCGCTCTCCTCTGTCTACCTCCTGTGTGGTAACCCCGGTTCTTGATAATGACAGCGACTCGTGCTCGAGGATTTTCCACAACTGCAACAATAATTCGGATTTGTCCGAGGAAGAAAGCAACGACAACAGTGCCATTCCCCCCACTGAAAACTCTGCAAACACCTCGCTCGGAGGATCTCCGAATAATCCAGACAACCGATTTAGTAATCGAAACTCAGAGACACAAACACAAACCTGTGTCTCTCAACCTTCAACTTCAGTGGTCAATATCCAACCCTCAACTCCTGTCCAACCCTGTGACTACCTTTCCCCTCTCCCCGTTGCAGATAACAGGTACATTTCACCCCTCTTTCATTCTCATGGATTTTCTCCGGCTTCGTGGAACAATGATTGCCTTACGACCAGAAATCGTTCTGGGCTCAAAAGCAACCTATTCGCCCAGGGCCAGCGCTCGCCACGAGACAGACTTGCTTCGAGGGGTTCCCCTCGTCTTGTGCGGAAGACCGATCTCATTTTTGGTGATTTGATAGGGAAAGGCACGTTTGGCTCAGTCCATGAAGGTGAGAGGGTCGTCTGAAGAACGATTGTGCGCTTTTGGTTGTTATAGATCTTGTCATTTATGCAGCCTATATTTTTTTGTGTTTTCTCCCCCCCCCTCCTCTCTC